AAAAAATCGGAATTAGGTCGCATTTAACAGACAGTGTAAACGGGGCCTTAGATAACCAGGTAAAATATAAGCACTTGTAATGTTTAATTCCTTACAGATGAATGTTTAGTTTTTATGTTTTTCTCGAGAGTAATTCAGGTCTAGTGCTTTCAGTCATAAGGCATCCAGTGTGGATTTCTTGGAGTATAATCCCTATAGACAGCTGGCTTGAGTTTTTTCCTCATCCATTTCCATTTTGTGCGAAACGCTTCAGAAGTAATTGTTTTTTTTTGTTTTGTTTTTTTTTTTGCAATTTCAGTTGGATATTTACTGACTGGTTTTGTGTCATACTCCGGCATATAGTACAACATTTACAAATGAATGCTTACCAGTTCCTTAGGTGCTACGCTGTGTAATCACACACATCAGGCTACAGCATCACTTCCATATCTCGTACTATACCACACGCAGGGCAGACCCAAGGCATAAGTGAACCGAGTGCTGCTTCAGGCCCAGCAGCCACTAGGGGGCACCCCCATCTGACCAGCTTGTCAACAGGAAGGAAGATGACAAATGACAACTAAAGCTAATCAAAATTTTGTCTTGGAGGGCTTGTGTGCAACACAGTTTGCAGCATTTCTGCTCTCTCCCACCTGTCAGCATACCTAAACTAAGTATACAGTGTTCTTCATTGACTGGGAGCTGGGAACGAGCAAAACTGTGGAATATCCTGGGGTTCCGAATAACTGGGTTGAGAAACACTGATAAAAATCACAGTTTTTTTTTTTTTAAACACTGAAACACTAACTGATCTTTGAAGCATCTCTGAAACCATTAACACATATAGCCAAGGCATTTACCAATTCTGCCAAACTGAATGGAAGTTATTAAATCCAGTTATTAAATCCAATTTTATAGCACACTTCTAGCAAAACTGTAAACATTAGTCTATACATTCCTACACTATCTTGCCAATTCAGAAAGTTTCTTTCTGTTCTTTTTTTCCTAGCACAAATGTTTTTTGTTTTCTTCTACTGTACTTTGTTGTTTGAGCAGCATTAGAACATCTCTACACTTCACTTATTTGTCCAGGGGAAGTGGGGGGGGGGGGTCTCACCAGAACCTGGGAGGCCTAAGACTTGTGGCCAGGCTGTAGACTGCAACCTGTGGAAGAAAGAACATCCTTCAAGAAGATTCTTAGAAAATAAGGCATCAGAGTGAAAATTAGACTGACCTAAGTTATATAAAGTAATAAAGAGGGTTTTGATGACTTTGAATGGTAAACATCTACTGGAAAAG